GCTGCTGGAACGAATTAATTTCGTAAGTAGAGGTACCACTGTACTGGCATTAGATGGGCATACAGATTACAGAACAACTTCTCTAACCCTACTAAAATCAACACAAAGAAACAGAAGGAAGACACAACTGCTTCCAAATTGAGGGGAGGGAGGATTTCACAAAACAATAGTACTACAGCCTCCTTCAACACCAGTGAATTACAAGTCATCATGAAGAAAACTGAAGTAACCAACAGAGTAGAGCAACTCACAAGCCCATGAGAAAAGTTGACATTTAGAACCATAGTTATAAGGGGCCAGAAGAACCATGTAGCCCAGCTCCCTGTCATGAAGGAGCCTGCTGCTAAGTAGCCCTGACAGATGGGGATCTAATCTCTGCTTAAAACCTCCAATGAAGAAGGTCCACCATCTTCTAAGAGATTCTGTTCCACTGCTGAATAGCTCTTACAGTCAGGAAGGTCTTCCTAACGTTCAGGTGGAATCTCTTTTCTTATAATTTGAATCCACTGATCATGTCCTAGTCCCTAGAGCAGCAAAAAAACAACAACAAGCTGGTTCCTTTTTCTAGGCTACATCCTGTCAGAATTTTAAGCATAAAATGGCCAGGGGCCATGAGAGAGATATATCAAGTCATGCAGGATTTGGAGATAGAGAAAAGCAAGAAGTTTTTCTCTTGACCTTATTCCAGCAAAACCTGGAGCCATCCAATTAAAAATGAAAGTGTGTTTGGGCAGGGATTTACAGTAAAGTGTCCATCCCCCCCCCCCACACACACACAGACAATGTATGTTTAAACTGTTGAATTCACACCACAAGGATGGGGTTCTGGCTTCCAACATGAAGGCTTTAAAATGGATTAGGGAAGCTCCTGGAAGACCATAAGGTTCTCAATGACTACAGTACTTGCCATAATAAGTGCATTTTACTCCCAGTATAACTATGCGTTCCAATAGCAGGTACGGTGTGGCAGGCACAAAATCCATAGTTCTGTAGGCTGTTGTAAAACAATTAATCATGTTAGCTGCCTAAGTATAGGATATGAACTTCCAGTTGCTCTTCTAAGAAGACAAACATTGACAAGCCCTGTGCTCAGAAGAAAAGAATAACAAGTGAACATACTGCTAAGCTTGTTTGTTTCAGAAAATCTCTTGCTTCTCAGTCAGTCACAAGTACAAGTGGTCAAGACAAACGCAATAAGTTGCCTGTGCCCACAGACTCGGATCCATCCTTCAGTGAAACAGAATGCTTAACTGGTTGTACTGAATCAGATTTTCCTTTACTTGAAAAGGAACTGATAAGCGTTTCAGAGAGTGCTTGACTGAAGCTCAGCAAGAGAAAGTTAAACCGCTAATGTATAAGGTACAACTACATTTAGGCATGTGTTCTAAAAAATAATGTTTATTCAAGTGTAGAAATTTTCTGGTAAAAATAAGAAAAGTATATGATATTCTTTCCATTGTCACAAATATTCTGATAAATAATTTCCACATAAAGTTTCAAAAGTATTTGAATATAACATTTAAAACAGCTGTGCAAAGTCAGTTAATGCAATTCAGAGCACTAGTAATTTTTCCAGTCCTCCTTTTTCCAAAAAACCCACATCCATTGCCCAATACAAGCTGCTGGGGATCATGAGTTGGGGCAAAGTTGCTCTCCTGTCCTGTCAGTGGGTTTCACACTGAGGCATTTGGTTGGCCGCTGCGGCAACAGATTGCTGAGCTAGATAGGCCTCTGGTTTGATCCAGCTTCAGGACTCTACTTCTGTTCTTAATCAATTAGGATTCCTCCAACCGGTGTGCCTTCTTGGTTAGTGAGGGAAAAAAGGGGTTGCCTTCCTCAGTATCTCATCCTAATTCCCTCTCCTTCCCCACTGCACAAGTCAAGAAGACCCACTGCCTCAGAACCATCAGTCAGTCTCTCTGCTGGACTGACAATTGCTAAGGGAAAGAATGGCTTTCTCAACTCCAATAGTTACAAACATTGGTCCTCCAGGTGTTTTGGACTTCAGCTCTCAGAATCCTCGCCCAACTTGGCCAACAGTCAGGAGTTCTGGGAGCTGAAGTCCAGAACATCTCAAGGACCCAAGTTTGAGAACCAATGCTCTACCCTTTCAAGCCAAGATCAGAGGTGAGGCCATGTCAAACACTCCAACTACAGCAGAATGGACAACTTCAGGGACTCCATGGGCCATTTTTCTACTTGTGGTATACTCCAGGAGCCAGAACTGACCACCAAAAATGCCAAATCCTTCCCCTCCCCCATAAATAATGGCTGGCGGTTCTGATCTACTTTTGAAAAACAGGTGTTCAAACAACGTTAAACAGAGTAGTGGAAAGGTGGGGCTTCACCCAAGGTGAACTAGCACTCTTTGAGGCTTCCAGAAGTAGCAATTCATCTTTCTCTTCTTCTTGGCCAGGACAATTGCTATCTGAGGAATCTTGAGGGATCAAGAGCTACAAAAACAACCTTGAGGGCCACACATCAGGACAACAGAATTCGAAGCCATCTGTAATCCTCACAGAATGTTTTATGCAAGGATCCTCCTAAGCACACGAACTCAGAAAAAGGTTTACACACTGGTCAGTTTTTCATTCCAAGGCAGTCAGTCACCTATCTATCTATATCAAACAATATGTCTGTTATTCTATCGGCCTCCCTGCGATGCTTGGGCTGGTTATTTATTTACTGTTTTTTGCTTTATGTAGTAGCCCACTGTTTTAACACTTTCCTTTGTTTAATACTGTTTTAAGGGGGTGGGAGGAGGGATTAGGGTTGGGAATGTTTTACATTGTCGATTTTAACTTGTGTAACCCGCCTCGATTGCTGGGCAGAGAGGCGGGCTATAAATAAAAATTATTATTATTATTATTATTATTAAATCAACAGATTCATTGTGTTTGAAATTAATAACAAAATAAACAATAACTTTTTGCGTTTTTTCAGAAGTTATAAAAGGAGAACTTTCAAGGATTGGCATCACAGGATGTGGGATGGGGATGAGCATGGAAAAATCAAAAAAATCTTCCTCGCTAAATATATATAGATAAAGACAAATAAAGGACTTTTATTTTCTGCTCCCACCCCATCAAATTTTTCTTCCATTTGGGGGGGGATGAATTTATAATCACATTCATTGTTATCTTGTGATCACTAGTCCTGATGAAGAGGCCTGGATTATTTCAAAATTTGCCTTTTCAAATGACAGTTTACTATTCCAATGAAGACATCCTGATTTCTGATTTTTCCAACAGGAATACATGACTGCATTCATTTT